CAATGTGGCCCCAATACTCCGTTGTATGATATAGCCTACTTGATCGGCTATTTGTCACCAGAGAATGCAGTCCCCTTTGATGGTGATAACCTGTCTGTAGATCACTAGGCCTATAGGTGAGGAGACACCTGCTGAAGAAGTCAGCCGAGAGTCAAATTGAAATTCATGCATTTTATCCCATGCTGCGATAAAAATCTAGGTTCTTCTGTCATTAAACGTTCTTGTTAGTGCTGCATCGTACCAACAGATGGAGCCATTTCTCAATAACACGTGAAGACTGATCACACTGTAGGGCTTCACAAAAATGTAAAATGTCACTGTGCATTTCAAAGTCTTTATATTGACATATCACTTCCCAAATTAAATACCATGAATTATTAAGCACTAATCTTTATGCTGAAGAAATGTTTTGGTCTCCAATAAAACACGTAAGTGTTCTTAATTTCTCTATTAAAGTAAGGTTAATTATTCATTAAAAATGCCATAGCCTAATTAACATTTCTTTAGTTCCACTGTTTTACGGAAATTCATGAGACACTTAAATAGTAGTTAATACTTTTTTTTTTTTTTTTTTTACCTTTTGTTTATTATTTACAAGGTTAATAAAGTGTCACATGCATTATTAGACCCATTTAAAAACAAGGTAAATTAAATTACCCATAAATAAAACTGCGCTCAAGTTAACAACTAAAAGTCATCTTTTTGTGAAATTACTTTTTTAAATTAAACATGTGTTAAATTACTTTTTTCCTTTTCAAAAGACCATGATGAATTTATACGTTCCTGCCTTCCTGAATTGTTTATTTATAGTAGTCAAAAGTTAAAAGGTGGTTTAAGGTCTTGAAAAAAGTAGAATCCAATGAATATGATAATCCTATACTATTAAAATCCCATTATTTAATCTCAGGAGGGTGTAGAATTAGACTAATTAGAGGCGATCAGTGTAACTGGTAAGCATCTGCCAAATTAAATGTGATTTTAACATTTTAACATTATTTTTGCAAGTAATTATATGTTTCTTTGACCTTCAGTTCATGTGAGGATATTTATCCACAAACTTGCTCTCCAGGTAATGTAAATGAAGGAAACAAAGTATGTTGAAGTTAATTGTTTCATACCAATGACAAATACTGTAACTTCACTTTAATGTCATGTGCTGTCTGGACTTGGATGTGGTTTATTCTGACCACCAGGGCATGTCAACACATCACAAACATCTCTTTTGCAATAGGCAAAAAAATGCTCAATATGTTTCTTACATCAAACAATCTCAGCATCAGGTGATGCTGTCCTGTAGGTCTGAAGGTAAGACATCTGGTCGGGGCACTTTGGGATGGAGGTGCACGCTCTTTTGTCACCTGAATGTCTGCGCTTTGTTTTGAAATGCAAGAGAAAAGCAGCTACAACTTTTAATCAGCAGCAATTGACCACGCAATTTCATCAAAACAGTCTATTGAGAAGTTCAGAGAGAGGAACACAATAGTAGGGTTGCAGTGCTTTAACCTCTTATTACACTTAAAAATGTCATTTTTTGCAAATGAAGTGGTGCAAAGAACACATGAACTGGGCTCATATAGTCTGATGAGTCACCATTCACTCTGTTGTTGAGCATGTGTGGTACACGCAAAACAAGTGTCTATAAGGGGAATGTTCCCTAAGGTGAAGGGTTCTGGGTGCATTTCATGGCAAGAAGTAGAATCCCATAATAGACACAGTAAACCGGTAAACATGAAGCGACTTTGCAAAGGGTCTTGAAATGGTCACTGAATGATTTGCATGAACATGATTTGATTCACATGGCCAGATCAATGAGCTACCCAGAAAATGGCCTGGAATTGTACATTGTATAAAGGTCATGTTAAGGTCTCTGTAGTGGAGAGGAGTGGGAGTGTGACACCTGAAGCTGCTCACCGGTCCTTCTGGATCCATCCTCTTATGTTTCGTCATTTGAATTGAGTGTTGGACTATATAAATACTTGACCTGACTTGATCTACCACCCACAGTGCTGTTAAAATTTTTATATTGCAGATATTGGGGTAGTAAAAGTGTATCCATTAACATATAATCTGACCAAGAAAATTATTATAAAGGCACTATTAGTTTAGCCTGGCCAGTTTGAATGCACTTTGGTCAAAAGACTGCAAAGCAAGTCCTTCTGTCCTCTCCTGGATCTTTCAGATTTTGGCCTGACTCTTGTCCACAGCTTAATTGGATACTCAGATTGCTAACTGAAACCATCTCTACACACAATACAAGTCTTTATGTGCCAGGAAGGATTGATTGTTATCAGACAGGCTGTAAATTGTCCTCATGTGTAACTGATACAGGCCTATGTGTCTTTAAAAAGCCTTCCCATTCACAAAATACTCTGAAATGCAACATTTGGATAAGACACCAAATAGACTTTTTGCCTCTTTTGTGCCTGGAAAGTTGTCTTGAATTCCACATGACAGTATAATTGTTTGTTAGTCATTTATAAATCTTTCTACTTGCTTATTCAACAACCAGAAGGTCAAGTTTAAAATGAGTTACTAGAAACTGGGTTGGATTCAACAGAAGTTTCTTGTGTGTAGTCAGTCGCATGAAAACCCAGCAAAGCAACTTGCAGGTTCAATTTCCTACTGAAAGCTGAAAGCATGTATATATAGCCAATAATGGAGGCTAGGATACATAAGGATGTGTTTCAATTGGATAATGAGTGGGTGGCTGAGAGGCAGAAAAGGGAGAGAAAGGCACTGTAATTACATAACGTTTTTTAGCCAGTGGCACACAAGATCATAGTGATCCGGACCACTCTATGCACCCAACCAACATTTTAATTGTCCAACAGAAGTGAGGTTAGAACTTTGATTTCTCACCGCTACCTTTGTTGCAGTGTAACATGTTTTCCTCTGTCACGCGACATCATTATGTTTTTTTGTGCTGTTTACTGCCATATATGTATGAGTGATATGTTTGATGAAGATCTTTTTCACTTGCTGTAAATACAGTCTTGGTGATGGCATTGTGAAAGATACTCATGTGGATACTTGTAAGGTTGCGCTATGGGGTCTTTAAATGGAGACATGAGAAATGTCTTCTTTGAGTTTATAATGTTTATGATGCAAAACAATGCTGGACAATATGACTGCCTTGACCCTTGACTTGCGCAAAGTCTCTGCAAAGGACAATGACACACAGCTTTTGCCTACATACATAGGTGTGGCCTTTCGGTCCAGGATTATTGTGGCTTTCCACACTGTGTTTACAGGATTATATTAGCTTTATGCACGAGACAAGAGGTCATTAAGCAAGAGGAAGAGAAACACGTGTGCACTTTAAAAACAGGCAATTGTCATGCGAAGTAGAGAAAGAGCCAGCTGACGATGAAAGTGGGATGATTTTGCTTTGTATGACAACTCTGTTTTTACAGCTAACAGTTTTCTTTCCACCTGCTTTATTTAAGCCTCTTACTTGTCTATCCTAGCTACCTATTCTTCAATTTTAGACCACAAACAAGAATAAAAAAATATTGCATGCATCACTTGAACAACTGACATGCCATGTTTGTTAAATAACACTGCGTATGGAAAATAAATGATTTAGTCTGTACAGTAGTTGTAGGTATAGTTGTTCTATCAGAGTTACCACTGTATGTAGAGGCAATAAAACAAGAAAGAAACATTAAAACTCAAGTCTTTTATTTTTATAGTTTGTAACAGGCTAATGAAACAGTGTTTACTTTAGCCCATTGGCAATTTAAGATACTTTATACATCATTTCCTAGATGCACATTGGTTCATAAATAACACTTTATTATGTATTTATTATTATTATTGCAATTCAGGCATACTTCATTATTGCAGTGAGATATTTCACAATATCAGCACAAAATATTGATACAAATATTGAAAATCGGTTTTCAGTTCAATCACTTAGTATGTTTGTACAAGGCACATATAGATTTCTTTTACATTTAAAAGTTGAATGATGCTGGTACTATAACAAACCCTTAATAGGTCAATGCAGAGGTCAATTTGGATTCAAAGAGACAAAAGTACATGTTTATTTGTAGTCTCTGCTATACTGTACGTTTTAGCCCATTTTCTAAAAATACCAAAATGGCAAACCTAACCTACAGCCCTGTTCCTTTACTGTAAATGTATTCAGAGAGATGTGCTTGAAAAATATTTAGTACTTGATACTTGACTTGGTGGAAGAAGTATTTATTTTTCTCAAGTATTTTTAGCAACACCACAGTGTAAAAATAGTTGATATTTATTTAATATTTGACTTAGATGAAAGTATATTTTGACAAAAAAAAATTACCAATAGTAAAAGTACTCATTAAGCAGCTGAATTGCCCTTGTCAGTGTTAAATTATATGTGATATTATTGGATTATTATTACTAAATGTATAGAATTTAAATTTTCTGTCTGGTTGAGATAGAGCTAATGTATATGCAGTTAAGTATTTTAATATATAATTTCATATTATCCTAATAAAGTAACTAGTAACCACAGCTGTCAGAGAAATGTAGTACAAAAAGTATACAGAACAATATGACAAGATTTTCCTTTGAAATACATGAAGTAAAAGCAGAAGCAGCATAAAATGTAAATTCCTAAGTAAAGTACAAGTACTTCAAAATTGTGTGTAAGTGCAATACTTGGGTAAGGTTAAGTTCTTATGTTATACTGCATGGCTTATTGCTATTAAGATGCAGCTACATGTGACTATATAAAAAATTTCTAATAACTTACACCTTTTGCATAGCCCTTCATTTGATGTGTTTTTATAAAAAAGAGTGCACTCCAATGGTGTTTTTTGAATTGGCTGCTTAGAAGGATTATAAAGTCTCTATTTGCAGTTATAAATGCTGACTGAGTAGATGATTACTGTGATAGTGTTTTATAAGCATACATTTTTTCTTTAAATTGTAATACAATGTGATACAGTGTAAAAAACAAAATTCAACCACTCTTCTGTAATTCCCAATCATATTCATCACCTCTTTCTTTCACAAGCAAGACTCAGGTGTCATCGAAAACAAGCAATGAAAGGCTTGTGTTCTAGCAGCAATCGGACGCATGCAGTCCACCGTGTGGTCTCATGCTGTCGCTCTGACCCGGGGTGTATGTTTTGCACCTGTGTATAGGGAGAGCAGGGTGTTCGTGGATTATCTCCTATGACCGAATTAGGCTCACACCCCAGTAACGTTGGCCCAGGAAGGGAAGGAGTCCAGGTCAAACATGGCCTTGCCCCAGCTGTTGATGGCCAGTGTAATGCAAAGGATGCCAATGATGTTCATGATTATTCCTGTCCTGGCCTGATGGAGAATAAGAGTAAGTAGTGATATTAAAGCAAAGGTTCAACATTTTGGGAAATACGCTTATTCACTTACTTGCAGAGCATTAGATAAGAAGACCGATACCACTCTTGTGTCTTTTCATTAATTATGAGGGTACGACCAGCAGCTGGTTAGCTTAGAACTCTGAACTTTGCTTACTGTCTATGCTCATTGTCTAAGTGTCTCCACCTGTGCCTCGTTTGTCCCTGTCCTCTTGTTTACTTAAGTTTCTGTCTCTTCATTATGTGCTGTTGGCTTGTCCCTGGGAAACTGTCAAGCGTCTCTGTGCCCGCCTTTGGATATTTGTGGATTTTTGTGTGCCGTCATTGCTTGGATTTATGCTTTTCCTATGTTTCTGGACTATAGATTAGTTTTGCCTTCTGGTCTTTGAACTGCCTCGCCATTGTTGTACATTTTTTCTCTGTGGATCTGTTAAAAACACTCTGAACTGTACCTGCTCCATCTTGGTGTCTGCATTGTGGGTCCAATCCCCTATTTCCCTGTGTATATGCTTGGGTTACACACAAACATATTGATTTTTGAGCTTTAGAGGTGCTGGTAGGCAGATTTAGTTTTTTTTGGACTGAGCTAGGCTACCTGTTTCCCTTGTTTCCAGTCTTCATACTAGGTTAAGCTGCTGGCAGTAGCTTCATATCATACCAAAAGGTGTATTTAGGCAGAAAACGAAGTGAGATTTAGAGGTGATGCGACTGCATACAATGTCAACAGAAAGGCGCGATTAGAGTCAAATTCTACATCAGAAGATGTGTTGAAGCAAGCTTAAATAGTTTAAGATTGAGTGAAAATTTCCTTATCTCAGGGTTTATGAATCGGTTTTATAAACATACAGACATGAGAGGAAAAGGAGAGGGACCAGGCGGAAATGGCTGAAAGAACTGGAGTCCCCCGGGGAGTTCTGAGATCATTGTATGCGCTGCCACACTAACTAACTGTTTTTAGCTAGCCATGCTACATCTGACCCTCAGCAAGAAAGCAAATAAGTGCATTTCCCAAAATGTCAAAATATTCCACATCAGGTCGCAACTGCAAGTGACAATGAACACATAAGTTCAGCTATCCTTAGAGTGTAACAGTGGCAACTATGGTGACAACTTTGCATGTTCAACATTTAATTTAATGAACAAACACAACTGCCATACTCACCATGTCAGCAACCTTGAGGTACCCATAAGAGAAGACAATAGCGTTTGGAGGCGTAGCAACAGGCAGCATGAAGGCAAAAGAGGCACTCAGAGTACAAGGCACCATGACGTACAGTGGATTGATTCCAATGGACTGAGACTGCAATCATCACACAGAAAGATTCAGCAGTCTGAGACAGGGATGAACATAGCCTTGATAACAAAAACCTCCACTAAACCATGTGGCTATTTTTCTGCAACCGTAATCACTGACTCATAACTCAGAGTGAAATGTGTGCAATTCTGTGAGGAGTGGAAACTCTCATTAAGTGGGTGTAATTAAGATGTAATTCCTGCAAGCTTGGTGCTGAATCACGATATCTAAAATAGAAAAGCACTACATATGTAGCGATAATGGCAGACCTCTATGATGCAGAAAACATTACTCTGGAATCTGCTTCTGAATTACATATCCCACAGTAGCTTACAAGTGCACAGTAATTTCTGGTTCTTAAAATAAACAGAGGGTGAAAGATTTAAACTTTATATTCTTCTTTAAAGTACAGGCTATATATCAGGTCACTACGTTGACAATGTTTTGTCTTGTCTGATGTGTTTTGTTTAAATTAAATGCTAAAAGATTCACTTGACTGGATGACACAAAGTGACATACCACAAGCCACAGTGTGTGTCATCTCCCCACTTTCAGCTATGTAACTGATCAGATGGCCTTCTCTTTCTCTTCTTTCATTTTATCTCTATTTTCACACAACGATTGGATGCCCTTGTGTGCCCGCTGGGCTTTGCCTTCCATAAATATCTATTTGAATGCCTCTTCTTGGCACTGTCCTTCACAACCCAGCTTTTTCTCTCGAGTGCTTGACTAGCCGGCACAGTAATGCCATTCTTCAGCCGCAGTGGGGTGGGCATTACAAGGCACTGGCTGAATTGGTGTGTTTGGCATGTTATTAATGGGAGGAGGGGCCCGGGGAAGGGGACCAAACATATTCAGCCTGAATGACCAACTGGGTAACAAAACAAGGGAAAATAGGCCGGCTCTCACTGGGAGTAGTTTCAATGCTGAACTCCAATTGGGGAAAATCGGTTCAAATTAAATTACACTATGTAGCACTTCACCTCACTGAACCACTGCCAAACATAACTGTCTGTCACCTGCAGTCTGAGATCCTGCCTCTGCTTTTTTTGTTAAAAACATTTCACTCTCTCTCTCTTAGAACTTACCATTGAGGCTAAGACAGGTAGGAAGAGCGTCGCAGTGGCCACATTACTGGTGCACTCTGTGAAGGTAGCAATCAACAGGCATAAGATGATAGCAATTGCCCAGGGAGGAATATTTTGCAGAGGAGTCATTTGATCTCCTATCCATTTTGAGAGTCCTGATTCCTACAGAGAAACACACAACATAATAATAATGGATTAAAGTCTTTTCTGGAAATGTACACAGTATTAATTTAAACAGATAAGTTAACATTTGCTCATTTACTGTGAGTATACTCTAATTAAGGTTTGTGCGCCATATACAGTATCCTTTGAAATGTAACTCAGGGGTATTTGCAGCATAAAACTGCGAAATAAATTAAACAAAAGTAACACATTCAGTGGAGAATTTGAACTGGCAGCAATTTGAAATGTTTGGTTTGCATTGCAGTAACATAAACCACTCTGATAGCAGAGAAAACTATCTACCATAAATACTATAAAACGAGGGTTGAATTTCATGAAAATATTTAGCAACTTTGAACACAGCCAACCATGAAGCCACCACCACACTTCCTGCTCCAGAGACATTATTATTCTTATTGTCCATATTGTGTGTAAGCTCTTGGCCCAGTTTCCCATTAACATTATGACTGTCACTGTCACTTACTTCACTGCCTTTGGCCAGAGCAAAACCTCCTCCAAGGAGAAGCACAATGCCCCATGGTAACTTCTTTTGGGCTATTTTCCAGGTGAGCAGAGGTGGAGTTGGGCAAACAGTTTGATGGGGTGCTACAGATCCAATAAATTCAGTGTCAGTATTGAAACATTGCACTGTCTCCCCCTCTTAAAACTTGCATATGAATGTATGACATGTAATCTATATTCTTCCAGAACGGTGCCTCACCTGTGTCAAATCTTTGAGTCCTCCATGAACAGAAATGTGGGGGTTTGGAGGGTAAAACAAAGAGAAGGATGGCAATGAAGATTGCAACTGTGGCATCTGTCACATACCTGAGAAGTGGAGTGAAGAGGGAATTAAAATTTCTTCAAAGCAAAAAATTCAAAGAATTGGAAATAGAAAAATTTTGACAAACTCTGCTTTGGAGTTGAAGATATCTGTCGCCCAGCCGTTAACAAAACCTGGGTCCCTTGTGAACCACAGCACCACCAGCAGAATGAAGAGACCCAGGACATTTATCTCTCCAAAGGACATGGGCCCCAGCAGGCGATGTTGCTCTCGGATCACATTATAGGCAGCGATGTCCTTCTCTGTCTTCACAGCCCCACAGCCCCACGTCTTCTTAAAGCTAGAGGGATCACACAGGAAAAATCTTTGTGTCACCTCTACGCTCAATCACACTCCTGCTGCGGTAAAGGTTTCTTGATGTTGATTCAAGTCTCTGTCACTATGATTAGGCTTTAACCATCACCAAACTCACTTGAATCCCATGAAGACAAACTGCAGCCAAAGCCAGGCCAGTGTGAGCATGAGGATCATGTTAGGAAAGGCAAAGCCGAACCAGGAGGCAAAGTTAATCACATCTCCGTTTTGAGGAAAGAGTCTGGAGTAAACAACAAATAACATATAATATTTTGTGGAACAACAATGAAAGTAATACAACATAACAAAACAGGGCTTTGAGAAAACACTCACTGGTTCATCTGGCCCTTGAGCACCAGATTGGGGCCGGTTCCTGTCAGTGTGGCGGTGCCGCCGATGCTGGCAGCGTAACAAACACACAGGGTCATCCCTTTACACATTCTCTGCCTTTCTGCTGCCTGTTTATGCATGGCAGCCTCCACTGCAACATCTAAGAAAGTCACCACTACTGGGCCTTCAAACAGAGAGAAAGGAATGAAAGAGCTACTAGCAACACAGTTTGATGAGTAGAAAGTTTGTGTGATGCTGTACATTGTCTTCAGTACTTTTTCTTGCCAAACAGACTTGAAGATGACTCACCTTGTCCCTCACTCTGTTTCTCTGTCTGCGGAGGCTGTTTGCTTTCCGTGTCTGTTGTCTGGACCTGCTCCTCTGAGCTGAGGATCTGAGGTATCTCTGCCTCGCTTTTGTTGAGCTGATCCAGCACTGCTTGGACAATAGGCACCATCATTGCTGTGGTAGCCGTGTTACTGATCCACATGGACAAGAAGGCTGTCACACCCATGAAACCCAACATCAAACTGTCAGGAACAACAAAAAACATAAACACTGTTAGTGGCCTGGATTGGATGAGGGAGGCTTGAGTGTTTTACAACATTCAACAATAAAGAGGAAGAAAGACAGACTTTTATTATAGCAATGAAAAGCTTGAACATGGTTTCCTTATCTATATCAGGTGTTTTTGATGATATCATAGATGATTAGATATTCTTTGGAAACATAAGTCTTAAAGATCACAAGTCAAACAGAGAATCTGGGGGTGTGCATCTGAGCCACTCACAGTGCTGGACGCACACCAACAAAGAGCAGCACCCTCAAGGCGATGCGCTTGTGCAGATTCCAGTGCTCCACTGCTACTGCAACCAGCAGTCCCCCCACAAACAACAGGTTTGTGTCCTTCAGGTACTGCATACACACCTGAGACAGCAGGGTCACACAGAGTAACGTGTGTGAACAGCAATTCGTCCCTGTTGGGGAAAATTCTACACACTGCTGCAGTTATTTTACTTACGTCCTTGGATTTCATGATGCCAAACAGGGGGAAAAGGAGAGCTGGGAGCAGAGCTGTTACAGCCAGTGGTAGAACCTCTGTGCACCAGAAAACAGCCATCAGGACTATCACATAGGCACATTCTGCCTCCTGTAAAAAATGGAACAATGAACAAACAAAAAAACATGTTAAAAACATACTGGCAAATGCACACAAACACAAAGACCTTGTTTAGAGCTCAAGGTCCCATCTGGAAAGGCACCATCTGTGAAAATCAGCTTCTGAGATCTGAGTATATATCATTAAGATGTTATGATGGTTCAAAGGGTGAAGATAAGTGTGCATACTGTTCTTTTGTTTCTGGTCACCTGATTGTACCAGCAGTTCTCATACTTATGAGCTCTATAACCAACCTTACATTATTATACATAAATATTAATATTACATAAATATTAATTTGTCATGTTTTATTGCATTACCTGCCTAATTAAGACCTTCAAGCCTTGATTGCTTTTAGATTGCTAAAAACCTTTGTATTCAGTTTTTGCAAGCAACCAAATTATCCTAAAGTTTCAGTCCTCATACTTTGTTACCCTCCTCTACACTATGTCTTTGTTCATGGCTGCTTTGCATTGCAGTTTATCATAACATGCTTACATGCCTGTGTGCATGTCTGTAATGTCACATGTAGGGGTAACGCCTGCCTAGCCCTTTGACTCTGTGTTCCCACGCTGGACATGACCCTACATGTTAACAGAAAGGAGTTAAAATAACAAGTCTTCAGAGCGCTCCAGCCTCAGGCATTACTGGACAATTCACATGCATTTTGCTCCAAGTGCGCTGCGCACTTGTGAGTCCCATCAACAGGTGCAGTAGAGAACCAGTATCCATCAGACTCATTCATTTTAACAAAATGTTAGCCAAAAAATCTTCGGCGCGCTGAATTTAGTTCAGTCCTGTGTTAAAAACTACATGCACAAGATGTGAAATGTTCCTAATTAAACTAGCTTTTTAAAAAAAAAAAAAAAAAAAACTATCTTAAAAAAATACACTTAAAAAAATTCTGAGTGCAGTAACCTTTATGGTTCCACAACTTTAGATCCATTACTTTTTCATGGCAAAATCACCAATAGCTGCTGAATTTCTCCACTTTAACAGTGTGGTAAAGTTTAATTTAAATTAATCTAGTGTTTTATCCAAATCTGTTACATACCGATGTTCCGATCACTAAAGGCAGTGGAAGAAGAAGAAACGGAGCTGAGAATAGGATAAGCTCATTCTTAACAGAGCGAAGATATTTGAAGAATGCCATCCTGTAGGAAAAACGGAGAAAAGGAAGCCTTCGCACTATGGATCGCGCTTTTGAGGCGCAGAGGAGAGGAGGAGGGGGAGTCCCACAGCAAATAAAGGAGGGAGAGAGGCGAATCACAATGAAGAGCGAGAGAGTGAATGAAAGAGAGAGAGAGAGAGAGAGAGAGAGAGAGAGAGAGAGAGAGAGAGAGAGAGAGATGTGCTAGGGTACTTACACTAAGCGACAGATTTATTATTCAGAATCAAAAACCAAGTCCACATAATCAGCAAACTTCCCATATAGTCACAAAAAATCATATTTTCTTCTGGCATTACTAGCACTGGCTGTGGCTGTAAGTAATCTTAATCGTAGCAATGCTTTTATTTTCATCACAAGTTGACATCACTTACTCTCATTGATCTCATGATAAATAATTAGTTTATCTCATGATGAAAACTTTTAAAAACAATGAGGTCTTGAGTTCAGACAGCGTGATCCCACCCACTTTTATCTATAGCTATCAAAAAAGCATGATTGATTGTTCTAAGAATCAGCTAAAATGTTCCTCCACATAAACAGCAAACCTCCCAAATACTCACAAAAAATCCTATTTTGAACTACTGCACTGAATAAATTTGATTGTTAAAAAAGTTGTGAACTTGAGATTCCTGCAGCTGCCAAATCATATTTACAGGTGCCGATTAGTTAAAGCCATTACTTTTTTAACTCCTTCAGTGTAGTGAAGAAGATTTTGTCAGTTGTGACTGTTAAAGAATTGAGTATAACTGTGTATTTATTCATGCTTGTCATCCTTTTAATGAAGATAAGATGAATACTTATTGCTCTTGCATCAGAATAGACTTTGTCATAGTCAGTGTTGGGCAGTAACACGTTATTAGTAACGCCTTCAGTAACGCGTTACTGTAATAATATTACAGTAAGTGTTACTACTAGTCATTCTGTGGGAAACACTGGAAATATAGTAAGGTAACTAGTAACGTAACTAGTTACTTTTATCACCCAGTAATAAGTAAAGTAGTAGTATTACTTTTTTAAGGAGTAATAAGTAACTAGTAATATATTACAATTTCTGAGTAACTTACCCAACACATGGTCAAAGTCAAGACTAATCAATTGAATACTGCTGCGCCTTATGATTTTGGTAAACCAGCAATGGGTTAATCATAGGTATATCTGCTTTTATTTTCATCATAAGATGATGTCACTTATTCTCATTTATCACACGATAAATACTGGTCAGCAGGGCGATAGCCTGGATTTTAAAAACACTGAGGTCATGACTTTAGACATGAGTGCGACCCCACCCACCTGAGAAACTTTAAAATGTCTATCAGCAAAACTTTTTAAATTTTCTGATTATTGTAATTTACTTAGTTAACTTCTAAATTGTATATCCCTAGACAGTCTAAATAATGTTACGATTTTGCACACTGCCAGGATATAATTTTGGTGGATAAAACAAAAAATTCCTTTTAAACTTAAATAATCTTAAACAAAAACAGGCAAAGATAGTTGGTGTAAAAAATATCACAGTCAATCATTCTGTGTCAAGAATGGTAGCCCAGTGGATATGTATTTAACAACCCTCCATCACCTATTGTAACCTTAATGACCGAAGACCGCTGAGTTTCTGAAGAGTTAATAAAGATGCAATGGATATTGGGAGATCAGCTAACAAGGTCTCCTCTTTAAGAAGCGTGTTGAGTGCCAACCAGGTTTTTCAGCATTTCATTGTTTGTATTACACTTATTAAGTAACAATTAAGTTAGTAGTAGTAGCTATGTTTATCTCACAATTATTTAAGTGAATAATGATTCCACCTCTTTCCTCCGTGTGTTTTCTGTGTACCTGAGCCCATATGCCCTTCACCAGAAAACACCTCTCTACAGCTGTTCAAATGCATCTTCCAGAACAGATAAACTAGGTTCATACTGTGTTAATGTGGTAATACTGTGTGGATTAATGGGAAACTGGGAGAATTATTTGGGCATGTGGGCAAAATGGCTTCCACTTCCTCAAAAATATTAGGGTTTCAGCAAGTTAGATTGTCTTCATTTGTATATATATCAATCAACGTATGCAGTACTTTGTTTCCCTTATGCCAGAGGGTGGAAGCCTATCTTCCTCAAATGTACTCCAATAAATTATATATAAATACATTTCCTTTTCCCTTAGCAGTCTCTTCATATTTCAACATGACAGTAACGTGAATTTTTCTTTACTGTATTATGTAAGTGATACAACTATTCTGGCTTTAAATGTAAACCTGTAGTGTCTGTG